AAAAAGTGTTAAATTTTCGTCCACATTTAAGCTTATCCTACCGAACCGATTTTGAAAAATCAAAAACTGTTCGAAAGATATCATTTAGGAATGATGCTGATTATTTTAGGTGAAAATTACCGAGCCGTTTTCTTGTAATTAACTGTTGAAAAAAAGTGTTAAATTTTCGTCCACATTCAAGCTCATCCTACCGAACCGATTTTGAAAAAATCAAAAACTGTTCGAAAGATATCATTTGGGAATGATGCTGATTAATTTTAGGTGAAATCTACCGAGCCGTTTTCTTGTAATTAATGTTGAAAAAAAGTGTTAAATTTTCGTCCACATTTAAGCTCATCCTACCGAACCGATTTTGAAAAATCAAAAACTGTTCGAAAGATATCATTGGGAATGATGCTGATGATTAATTTTAGGTGAAAATCTACCGAGCCGTTTTCTTGTAATTAACTGTTGAAAAAAAGTGTTAAATTTTCGTCCACATTTAAGCTCATCCTACCGAACCGATTTTGAAAAATCAAAAACTGTTCGAAAGATATCATTTGGGAATGATGCTGATTAATTTTAGGTGAAAATCTACCGAGCCGTTTCTTGTAATTAACTGTTGAAAAAAGTGTTAAATTTCGTCCACATTTAAGCTTATCCTACCGAAACCGATTTTGAAAAATCAAAAACTGTTCGAAAGATATCATTTAGGAATGATGCTGATTAATTTTAGGTGAAATCTACCGAGCCGTTTTCTGTAATTAACTGTTGAAAAAAAGTGTTAAATTTTCGTCCACATTTAAGCTCTCCTACCGAACCGATTTTGAAAAATCAAAAACTGTTCGAAAGATATCATTTGGGAATGATGCTGATTAATTTTAGGTGAAAATCTACCGAGCCGTTTTCTTGTAATTAACTGTTGAAAAAAAGTGTTAAATTTCGTCCACATTTAAGCTCATCCTACCGAACCGATTTGAAAATCAAAAAACTGTTCGAAAGATATCATTTGGGAATGATGCTGATAATTTTAGGTGAAAATCTACCGAGCCGTGTTTGTAATTAACTGTTGAAAAAAAGTGTTAAATTTTCGTCCACATTTAAGCTTATCCTACCGAACCGATTTTGAAAAATCAAAAAACTGTTCGAAAGATATCATTTAGGATGATGCTGAAAATTTAGGTGAAAAATACCGAGCCGTTTTCTTGTAATTAACTGTTGAAAAAAAGTGTTAAATTTTCGTCCACATTCAAGCTCTCCTACCGAACCGATTTTGAAAAAAATCAAAAACTGTTCGAAAGATATCATTTGGGAATGATGCTGATTAATTTTAGGTGAAAATTTACCGAGCCGTTTTCTTGTAATTAACTGTT